CCCTTTTCTAAAAGCCTTCCATGAATAGACACTTTTTTTTTGAATGTTTTTATTTCTTTTTTTCTGTACTGAGTATTGGATGTCTCCTAGGAGAATCCTATGAATAGACACTTGGCATTTCAAGATCAAAAAGCCAACTGCAAAACTCCACTTTGGTGAGGTTTGGAGGATCCAAATGCTTCTAGCTAACAAGGCAACGGATTCAAACACCATCATGAGCACTATGGCCATCGTAGTAGTGTTGGATCCATAATTCAAGTTGAAGTGCATAGAGTTTTAAGTTTGCTGCTCAAAGTACTCCTAGATTGGGTTACTCAAGTGAATGGAGGAAATGCTCCTGGGAGATTGCAGAATATTTTGACTTCAATTTTTTATGCCCTACATATAGTGTATATGAGGAATAAATCATATATAATTAGTTAATAAGATTGAGCCTTATTTTGCCTATCAAGTATTGTTTCCCAGATTCTAACGATTTCTTCACTATAAAGTCAATGGGAAACTTTTGTAAATAACCTTTATTTTTTATGGCACTTAAAAAATCCCCCCCATTCTTCATATTTAATGCTCATGTCCCTTGACTTTCGCTTTTTTTCCTCCCAAAATATCCCCATTTCGGAACTGGGGGATTTTTTTTCTCCCATCGTTCAAGTTCCGAACCAAATTGTTCATAAACAAATCGGTTCCAAACTTCAAGTTTCGAACTAGTATTCACTATGAAATCATACAAGTGATCTGGTTTAGGACTTGGAGATCCGAACCAGCTTGTACAATTTTAGAGTAAACACCAGTACAAAACTTTTTGAACGGATTTGTTTACGAAAAAGTTGGTTCCAAACTTCAAGTTCTGAATCAATCCCTTGCTCCAAAAAAAAAATCCCAGTGCAAAACTTGTATTCTGAACCAGGGGTGCATTGGAGAAAACATAAAAATACGAAAAAAGGGACACAAGCAATAAATAAATAACATAATGCACCTAAATACAATATAATTGTTAAAATATGTAATACATTTTAATATCACTTACTAAATACCATAATATTCTCCACACAAAAAAGGAGACTGTATCATAATTTTGTACCACATGTATCATACAATCTTGCATAGTTATATCTACATGGATAACTGTTATATACTTATATCATGTATATAACATTTACATTATGTATATTATATATATCATTATAATATATGCATCAATATCCTGGATAGGATATTCATATCTCCATGTATGTTCTAGGCTTCGGAAAAGGACAAGATATATTCCCATCCCCACACAAATGTCTGTATATGTGTCCATTTTCAGAATCTTAGGGACAACAGTGGAGATTTCCTTAAGTTATAGCTCTCTACATTTCTTCTAACAGTTTAAAAGTTTTCTCAAATTGGGGAAAATCATCCAATGACACTCACCAAATCCATATTGATCATAAGTAGATCCAATTGTATAGCAGGAGAACAATTTAGACGAAAAAATACTCAGGATAAGGTCCAATGAGGTCATCTTGACAAAACTCACAGAAGATGTCCAGCGAAGGCAACAAATAAGTAATGCAGATTAGGAAACAGAATCTAATAGGTAAAAACTGAATAGATATACTGAGAGGATATGGTCCAATGCGCCAGCTCAAAAGAACAAGAACGACAAAAACCAAAGTTAAAATGTCCACAGATGGAACAACGGCATCAAAAAGCGAAAAAAGGGGGAAAAAGAAAACAACCCAACATTCCTTTTTTGCCCAATAACAAGCATAAAATAGAGGATAGAAATATGTACAAGAAACCATCAAAGGAAACACAAATCTTCAAAAGATATTGATCATAGATAGAGGGCTCAGATACGATATCACCAACTATAGAAAGCAAGCAAATAGCAAGACGTCCTTACATGCAGTGATTTGTTTTCAATTAATGATGTTCGGCTATAGTTATTAAGCTTCATCCCAACAATCAGCCGGCGAACTTGCCACTGAATAGGTAGAGACGGAACAAGCTCAAAGAAGTACGTTGCATACCCATATTCTGGACGTTCCAAAACGATCCTGTACCAAGGAGCAAGTTAAGTGAATTATACAATAAAATAGAACCGAGATGTGAGAAATGTAACCCAAAAACAAAGCATCACAACACCTGTTGTGCCTTTCAAAGACAAATATAAAGGATTGAAGTTCCCGACACCATCCCCATTCAGCAGGCCAATTACGAAAATGCAGATGTCTAGTCTGCAGAATTTGAATGAAGAGAATTATGGTTTAATGGAAACTAATGAGCACAAGAAGCAAGCAATATTCATTAGAGTGTGATCTAAGCAACTAAAGCCATGAGGAAAGTTGTTACCTGCTCAATCAGTGACATGAGGCAACCCAAGCAATAGGTGGTTTTGGCTCCCTTTGTAGGACGTAGTAGCCGAGGTAGTTTCAAAATGGAGCGGCGAGAAAATACCTGAATAATCAACATTCTTACATTGAGAGCATGCTGAGGAAATGACTGGTTATAACCGAAAGTCATTAGACAGTAGCATTCACTTCACTATTTTCCTATCCCTCAGAAACAAAAAGCACTCTGAATGGCATTGTGGCAACATAGAAGCATAAGACAAATCCGGGAACATATCACACAAACCAACATCATGTATGCCAATGCAGACAACAAACCATCGTGGATCGAGGCAAAGCAATCTAGACGACAAAACAGTGCAAATCTCGAGAACAAGATACCGCTAGCCCTTTTCAAACTAACTCACAAGGACATGGATATGAGAATTTGTCGGAATAGGATTTGAAGAATCCAACTCACCTACTTGTATTCTACCAAGTCCAGTATGACATGTCCATATAACACATACATGTCTATATATATATATGGAAGATACTACAAAATACCTATAGGTGAAAATGAACAGTGATTTCGCCTACCCTCATCACCGTCCAAAGTTCAACGATCACAATTATCCGGTAGTGTTTCATTTTTCATTTTTTTTTTTTCTACAAATCAAAATGACCTGAAATTTGGAACGTGGGTTCATAAAAAATAAGCGAATCTAAGAAAAATATCAAAAAAATTAAGCGGGAGTATTTTTGTCAATTTTATTTTTCGCAAATTATTTTTTTTATATTTTGCGTAGATTCGCCTATTTTTTATGAACACATGCTCCAAATTTCAGGTCATTCCGATTTGTAGAAAAAATAGAAAAATAAAACACTACTGGACAATCGTGACCGTGCGATGAACTGCTGACGGTGATGAGAGTAGGCGAAATCATTGTTCATTTTCGCCTATAGGCGTTGGGAAGACTTTTCCTATATATACATATATAATTTGTGATTTTCAATAATAACATTAACTAGAAAAGTAAAAAATGTGGGCCCCAATCAAAGAGATACATGTCAAACCATAAATGCATGCATCCAATAGTCGGGAAGCACACGACTTTCCACACACTACTTACAACACAGACACATGTATCCTACAATGCGGACATGCGTGTCTTACAAAATTTCACATGTGACTTGTTTGTCCAATATGTGAACTTGTGTGTCCGCATTGCAAACACACCATGTCTGTGGATCCAAAAAAATGAAAATTTCCAGACAAGCACGTCAACACAAATTTCTGTTTGTATGTGGGGTGACATGCGTGCCTAGTGCATTGCAATGTCAGATTCTCTTAAATGCACGTGCCATGTATATCGATGTAACGTAATTTTTCAACTTTAGTATGTACAGTTCACTAGGGCCATTAGGGCAATTATGTTGAGGGAGTGGAGTGTGTATGACTGTGCTTATGCCACGCCTGTGAGATAGAAAAAGGAAGAAAATAATGAATATTAATAAAAACATAATTACATAACTGAGTCATAGTGGCGCATCATTTCTTTTCACATCCATACTTCTCCATCGCTCAACCAAGATCACACAGTGCCCTCAAATTCCTAAGATCATTCTCCTAAAGGCCCTCTCTCATCAATCGTTCTCAGGGATCTAAACCTGATTCCAACTTGCATGTGGGATTTACATAAACTCCCATCCAACAAGTAAATATATATATCACTCATTGATCCCCCTACATAGAGCAACCCTCTTGATCACACATATAAGGGACTGTGATGATGGCAAGCAATACTAATAAGGAAGCTTTTTAGTTCAGAAAGAGGGTTTGGCTCTTCGATAATTGTAGTTTTTGTGCTACCAAAGGGTTTTCCTCAGTTTATTAGGGTATCCAGACACTTATCGAGAAACTCCTCAAGTCCACATTGCATCCTATCAATGAACTCTTCAAAGTATTGCACCAAACAGCATAGAATTGCATTTTCTGGGGCTAATTCTCAGACCTAACACAGACACATGGCATGTCAATTACAATCCCAGTTCTCATCTTGACTCAGACATTCATTATAGAAGATCTATATTTAATCTGAAAGCTACAATAATAGAACCTCATCAAGATCTGAGCACAATCCTAGTAATAAGACCTAGGTTGACTACATTATAAATTAAAAGATTCAATGCTTTAGAATAATGGTACAATAAGGGAGAAATCGAGATACCAATGCCTAAGATATCAGGAGCTCCAGGAAAAGCCTCCAGGAAACAGCTTAGCAGAATTGAGACCAAAAACTATGTAATTACCCCATCAACCTTGGACGTCAGCATACCCAAGACACTACAGTCGACATGGTCGTAGGCTTCTCCATGTTCTACAGTTGTAGTAATACTCAGGCCACCCCTTGCTAAATCTTGTGCCTAGACATTCATGGTGACAAAGCTAGCTAGGACTTCTACAAGATCTTGTACGGCTGCCCTACTGTGATGATAGGTGGAAATCAAACAATATTCATCCTACCATCTTAGGATTTTAAATAACAAAGCAGATCTTGGGATGAAATTCCATGTAATCACCTACTGCAATATACATAAAAACTAGAGCATAACCCCTTTCAAAACCTTTTACAAAATTGTTAAAGATTGCATTTAGTTAACAATCTGGACACATTCTATGTCTGTGCATAGACCACACATTTACTTTCTTAATTGCCATCACCATGAAAAGGCTGTATATTAAATGACTTAAGATAATCTGAGATAAAAAAGTACATTGCAACACCAATGAAGCCCTTACAAGGTAAGAAAGAAAAACAAGAAATGCCTTAATGCCTCAATAAGTACCAAAACATACAAAAGGCACCATGAGATGATGATAGATATTCAATCGCTTTTCAGCTAATATTCGCTTTCGAATGAAAGCACGGGACAAGATTGCCTTCTGGTCGGATAATTGGATTGTACATGCTCCCCTTAGGGATTCTTTCCCCTCTCTCTTCTGCTTGGCTCGCAACCCCCAATCTTCAGTTGCTGAGAATTTCGGACCCTCAGCCCTTGGGAGGGTATGGTCCCCAAACTTTAGAAGGCCCCCTATCGACCTTGAACTGCCTACTTTTTTAGAGCTGCAGGCTCTACTCCACTCCTTCCTCCCCCTTTCGGGCCTGGATAAGATTATTTGGACCCCCGCCCCTTCATGTGTCTTCTCTGTCTCCTCCTCCTACAACACTCTCCTGAGGCCCTCCCAGGAAGCAACCACCTATCCAAACTCAGTGAGCAAAGTGTGGTTATCTCTTGTTCCCCCAAGAATACAGTTCTTCAATTGGGTCACAATCCACGAGAGGGTATTGACAGAAGAGCAACTACAAAGGAGGGGAATGCAATTTCCAACTGGTGCACCATGTGCCGTAGCAATGCCGAATCCAACGCCCACCTCTTCCTGCACTGCAAGCTCACCTTCAAACTCTGGGGCTCTATCCTTCGTCTTTTTGGGTGGTATTGGGCCACCCCACAGTCTGTCCCCCAACTGTTCTCCTCTTGTCTGTCCCCCCCTGGGCTAAATCAGGCATTCTCTTATAGAGAGTTACTGTTGCTCCATCTTTCGGTTCCTCTGGCTGGAAAGGAACCAAATAACCTAAATCAGGCATTCTCTTATAGAGAGTTACTGTTGCTGCCGCCCTTCGGTTCCTCTGGCTGGAAAGGAACCAAAGAACCTTTGGTGGACAGTATACCCATACCAAGACACTATTGGAGAAGGTGCGGTAACTGTCATCTTTTGGGCGACCAACCACAAAGATTTTAATCACCTCTTGCTCGTGGACTTCAATCAAAATTGGCAGGCCTTACTTTTCCTTAAGCCCTCCCAAATCCCTCAGGCCTCTCTTTGGTCTCCCCCTGCCAGCGGACAATTAAGTTTAACTTTGATGGATGCTTCTTGGGCAATCCAGGCCGGTCGGGCATTGGGGGGATTTTCCGCGACAGTGTCGGCCGCACCTTATTCTCCTTTCACATTTCTTAGGCCTCCCCGGCTCAAATTTGGGAGAGGCAACAGCCCTCCTTAGATACTTTAATAGTTCCTGGGGCAATTCTTTGATAATGGGTCCCTTGCCCTTGGAGGCTTAATCACATTTTTTATGAGATTTTTTTACCGAAGTAGGGATTTACATATTGTCTAGGGGGATAATTGAAGGGAGGCAAACTCCATTGCGGATGCCCTCGCTAACGAGGGAGCAAATGATTCCAACCCCCAGGGGACCCTTTCGATAGCCTCTTGAACTGTCTCAACGAGCCCACACCTCGGTTTGATTGTTTCTTAAACACCTTTTTGCCCTTATGGTCTGCGTATAACTCTTGTATAGTTTTTTGCACCCATAAGGGTTTTTGGCATCGAGCACCCAACTTGTGAGTGGCTGATTTTTTTTGTATACTCTTCTTACTCAATACAACAGTTAACATTCTCAAAAATAAAAAAAGATAAGTATAAAATATTGAGAAAATGCAATAACCAATTCATCAAAAAGCCTTCTCAAAAAAAAAAAGATGAAGGATACATATCTTAGTAAACTATTCTCAAAAAAGAAAAAAAGAAAAAAAAAAAGTCTAAAGTTAGGCATGCTTGCGCAACGATGATATTGGGATTAGTAACATCATTGAAGCATTGTCCTGTAAGAACAATAACCAACTAAAAAAGATAAAAGAAGAACATAAAAATAAAGGAAGAGTTGCTTGATCTGAAGGTTCATGAATATGAAAATACAATCCCATTGGATCTACAAACCATCGAAGGTCTTTCTTGGCTATTGAACGTCCTCTCTCCTGATATGACAAATGAATCCACGTTTCAAATTTTACATGTTAAATAAAAGGTAACCAAGTTGAAGTTCGAGTTCTTAACTGTATTTTAGTGGAAATGGGTTCACATTTTCAGTCACCAACAAACAAGCCCATAGTGTAAAAGAAAGTAATAGAGGCCTCTTTCTAGAATAGAAGAATTGTGAAAATAAACCTATAAAACCATAGGTGCAGACAGTACAATTTTCAAAGTTCAAACTACGTTTATCTTGTCAAATTATAGAAATAGCATACAGCACGTTACGAGAGGCGGGGGGCCCTCAAGAGAGATTTGGAAGTGACAGATCAAGTGGGGAAAGAGAAGAGGTACTCAACCAAGACTCTTCTTGATGAAAACCTTCCTCCAAAAAAGCAGCTGGGTCATTGACCTCTAAATGTACACAATAAAATAGATAGCAAAAATATCCCCTAAGTTGCACCATAAATAAGCCT